CAAGTGGTAAAAAACAGCTTGATAATAACAATTGAAGCTGTTTCTGCATAATTATCAAGCTGTTCAAAAACAATGTGATAACTACATAGCAAGCTATTATCAAGCTATTATCAAGCTGTTTTTAACCACTTGATAAAAGCCTACACACCCAGTGTGAGGGGATATTGTTGTAGTAAAATTGACCGGCCTTTAATTATTCCATTTAGACGGCGCAATACTTTTGCTAGACAACAAACAATCACAACAGAATACCGCCGCGCTAGAATATGTTGACAACATACAAATGAGCACACAAGCAATGAGTAGAAGGCGGGACGCGACGGCATCGTAATTATATCATATTATAGAGTTGTATCATATGGCAAACACTGAGGCACTTTTTTAGAAAAAGATTATAAATAGCCATGCTATCATAAGCAATAAAAAGTATCTTTTAACAACCCTCTATTCTCTGATTACCCTTTTTTCCTATCCTTTCTCATTGGCTACGCATCCACCCACCAAAAAGTGACTGGACACTCGACAAAATGACGCTATTCCAAAAAAGGACATATAAATATAAGTTATATATATATAAACTGAACTCTCGGACCGGGAATTGAACCCGGGTCTCCCGCGTGACAGGCGGGGATACTGACCACTATACTATCCGAGACTCTACTGGCTGACTACACAAATAAATGTACCTAACATGCAGCGCCTGACACTGTGCCACTAGAGTTAAAACCTGATTTCAAAGTGCTTTCAGTGTACTCTGAAACTTTTCTTTCAGTGTGCTTTCAGTGAGAATTTACTTTCAGAGCGCTTTCAGTGCGCTTTCAGAGCCGTGATGCAGCAAATAAATTAAAATTGGCTCCCCTACTAAAATCCTTCTCCCCCAAAACCATCTGGGATGACCCCTTTTTTACACCACCTGGACTGCTATGCTTCTTCCCACTCTGAGACTTTTACCGCCTCTATGCTTGTCTCCACCACTTTGCTTTTTTCTCCTTTTTTATTTACCTTTTTTTTTTGCCAATTAGTAAATCAAATTCTTCCACATTTCTATTTATTTGACTATCTACAAGTTTCTTGATTCACCATCATATTAGATTCCTTCAAAATGCTTTTTAATCTGAAGCGATTTCTATAATTCAAAACTTGTTTCTATTTTATTCTCTATTACAACCACAGCTGCATGAAGCCAAAAAATTTAAAGACCTGACCTGAGGTATTTTGCTTTTAAGAGTAGATTACTTTTATTTTTTGTGGTAAATATGTAAGAGCACAGCTATTGTCTATTTGAATAGGGGTAACAACAACGCCAGAATGGAGCCTCCCCAAAGGAACGACACACTGCCATGTATACGGTTCGATTTCTTAACAGTAGACGTCCATACCTAGCATCCTAAACGACTCAAAGGCTTGCGTATTTGGTCGTAGGTACTCAACAAAAGCAAAAACGAACTAGCAGAAATTACTGTCGGTGGGATTGCACAGGTTGTAGACAAAGAAATAGAGAATGCGCCCAGGACGAACGATCGCTTCAGTACGAAATTGAGTACTTGGGCAAACGACTCGGACATAGGTGCTAGTGTTGATGTGGTGAGACATTTCAGAAATGAACACTTGGCCCAGGTGATCAACTTTTGCAAATTTGTATACGTGATTGCTGACCTAATTACCACTAGTGCTAGCGAGTGACACAAAATTCATGTCTGGAAACATCGATTAGTAATACTCGAGAAGACAGTGGTAGTGGCGCGTATCCATGTATACCTTTTTGCCCGTCTTGAGGGGAAGACATGATGGTGGCAGCGGCTCCCAACCAACTACGCTTACTCCCGCGGCATAGTCGAAATCCGATTGATCCAAGAACGGCCGACAATCGTAATGCTCTTGCATGGCTTCTGATTGTGGCAGCAACAGCTCAGCAATCTGTCTGGCAATCGTGCTGTTGCCGCACCACTCGACTACGACTCGTCGGACCATGTCATCAGCGAACACGACACTTAAGAACTTCTTCATGTACGTAAGTTCGAAACTGTCTTTTTGGTTGGTGTGCTGGTTCTTGATGATCTTGTTGAACCGCTCAAAGCTGAATATTCACATGTTATAGCAGCTGCCAAAATTGAGTACCATGTCGCGAAGGTGAACATGCAAATGCATATTTGACGTGACTTGATCTCTGGAGTACAATCTTGAAAAGTCGCGGCCAAATTTGAGCAGCAGTTAGTGGGCTTCCTCGTTTTCGGCGATGGTGATGTATGGCTTACAGAGGAGACGTGCTGCCTTGATAAAGAGCAACCAGTGTGTCATCTTTTCTCCAAGCAATCTTCCCTTCAACAACGATGGCGAGAGTGCAACAGTCCACGACCTCTATTTATCCGACGTCATTCCAGCAAATCCAGTCGCAATACAGCCGTGAGCGATTCTGTATGATGGGGGCACCACCATCTTCTCGAGGCAATCTTCCATATCAGTCAAATGCTCTCTGGTCAAGGTTCCGTCATCTTTCCATATGGTGGCCATGCGCTCGGCTGTCCCACAGAACATGTTGTGCATACAATCAACTATTGTCTGGGAAATGGGATCAAAGTATAGAAGACGATGCAACTCGGACCAGCGTGTTCCATTTGATTTCTCCAACTGTGTCCTTTCAGTAGCCGTTTTTGCTGCCTTCCAAGCTTCTGCGTCTGCCAAGTTCTTTGCCTTTGTGCGCAATCTCTAGGAAAAGTCAAAGTTAGAGTAATCACGCAGCCTTACATTCTCTGATTGCGATGGCCAGGAAATGTCGCAATGGTTACATCCGTAGAATGACTGTGGACCTGTAAACCCAGAAGCCTTTCTTGAAGCCAGTATGTCGGATACAACGAGCAATAGAGCTGCTCGCACTTTGACCAAGGAGCCGTCATCAATAATCATATCTTTGCCTTGATATAGTTGTAATAGATCGTCGACCATTGGACACAGGAAATTATTGATTTGCTCTATCAATAAAAAAAAGAAAGGAAATCAGAACCACACATGCGAGACTCCAGAGTCAACGAGCAAAAAGGTAAGTAACAGTGTAATCAAATTGGTACCTTTGGAACTTTCATAGGGTCCCGGTGCTATACGGACTAATATGACATTCGATGACTTGAATCGCTCAGATCTTGGCAGGTTATTAATTGTCATATATAGTGCACTGACAGAATGCGAAGTCTGCTTATCAAATGACTGGAACCAATCGACATTGAGCGTCAACATAAGTGGGTGTTGATTTGCCACACGTCCAACGAATGATACAGGGTTTTCTGCCATGGATTCTGGCGCCATTATCGACCACCATTTGCGACCATCATATACATCATCCAAAGAATCTGGTCATGGGGTTCGCTTCCTCCAGTGCTCGAGTTTTTCGCCGAATCCTGGTCTACGCATCATAATTGCAAGGCTTGCTGACATAGGATGATACACATACACTTTGGGAGGTACAAGGTTTCTGTTTCTCAAATGAAACAAGTTCATGCCGCATGGGGCTCGGTGTGCTGTCATTGGATGGTGTGGGAACTTCTGGAACGAGCATTTCAAGCTGGTAGGTATATGTTCATTGGGATAGAGGCAGTGGCAGCTGGGATATATAACGATTGCTTGACCACAATCCAAGAGCTCGTTAAGACCAGATAAGCGGCGTACAGTAGCTATTGACCATGGGATACTGATTGAAATGTAGAGACCGGCAAAAACGACAGATAGAAAATGGAGGAGCAGCTCACCACCAGCCCTGCTCAAATAGCGATCTTGGAACAAGGCTAGGAAAAGGTAAAACATGATAATGAAGTCGGATGGTCGTGTAATATCTATGTAAAACATAGTGTATGAGATACTAATAATTTGAATTTCGTGCTACTATCTTTTATTTAGATGAGAACATAAATTTACCATTGGTGTTTTCGTCCTCTTCTCAATGGATTGATTAAAGAACTTAAAACGATAGTACATGCATTGTTTTGTTTTAGAAAAAACGTATTCGTATTGTATAGGTGAAAAAAGATTTTTTATTTGATAATTTTCAGCAATGACAATAATCACAACGATACCATTTAAAGATAATGGTGGAACTATTATAAGAAGGGAAGCAGAGAGGGTGGAAAACGGCGACAGTAGTTCTATATGCAGCTGCATAAAAGGGTGTATAGGGAAAAGAACACGGCCGCTTGGCAACGCTAGCGGCAATGGCAAAGAAGATTGAGAAGAAGTACTGACCTATAAGAACACAAGAGAAATGGGAAGGGGAGAGTTAATAACTGGAAAAGTGCAAGCAGGAGTAAAAAAGTAGGAAAGCACAACTATTACCCACCTTATTCGTAAAACTGAGAGGAGACAGGGGTTCCTAAAAAAAGTGAATAAAGCAACCGACATACCCCGCCCTGGTTAAAAATAGAAAGGAAGAAACCACTTGATGCAGAAAGTACAATGTCGTTGACCTAAATGTAATGTAACGAGAGATGGGGGGAAGAATATTCGTAAGAGGGATTGTAGAATGACTGGTAGTGAAAAAGAAAAAGAGAGTGGCGATACAAACCTGGTTTTTTGAGGATCATAATACTTGAGAACGGAGTCTCTTGAGGAGCGGGTTTTTTGAAAGAAGAATAAAATATCCAAAGCAGATCCACATTAAACGTAACCAAGAAAGATTACCCATCCACAATCCATCAGAACGCCTCCGTTCCCAATAAAAAAGAAACTTACCTTTGGCTGCAAATGTCGTAAAAGTGAAAAGTAAAAGAAAGAGATGGTAGATGCGAAGAATCAGTGGATCCAGTGTTTATATAGGCCATGCATAGTATTTGTCCGTAAAAAGATAACAAGATGTGCAGCATACCACCCTATTTAAAAGAAACGTCAGTTAAAATGGATGCTCCTCCACTTCATTCATTTCGCCATCCACCACCTTTTGCTCTTACTTAAAGTAATAACATTAAGAAACCTGAGATCGTGTAGCAATAATCAATATCTTACCTTGTTGGTATTAGATGTCTTCCAACAACAACACCCCTAACAACAGCAACACTGACGCACGAGGTCAGCAACACGCGCAGGATATGGAGATCGGCTGTATCAACGCAAGCGTCCTCCTCCTCCAGGATAGTTACAATGTCCTACAAGCTGAGAATGTGATGATGCGACAGCAGTTGGCATCAATGTCAACTTACTTGGCACAACAGCAGCAACAGCCTACGTCTATGGCAGCACCTGATGTTGACAGACGAAGAGTGGAGGAAGTGCTTGTAAGATTGTCGAGTTTTCATCTTACCTGGTTTCTAGGACAGTAGAATTAATTCCTTGAGTTGTTAGGCCCAAATCCACGCTCGTCATAGCCGGTTTTCGTCCGAGTCTGGTTATCGTTTGGACGAGGACTTTAGGTCTGCGCACAATAAGCTGGTCACAAAGATCATCATTGACCACTGCAACGGCGAGGGGGACAGAGGTTGTGTTCTGGGGGACAAGGCCTTACGGGCTAAAGTGCACCAGTACTTTTGTGGCCAGAGGGATGTCGCAAAGCGTAGCCCTAAGCAAAGAGCTGCGATTACCCTACGCAGTAAGCGCGGCAAACGAGTATGGCAGGTCAGTATCAAGAGAATGTGGTTAAGCAAGAAAAAGAGGTTTAAAGTGGTAAGTGTTTAAAAAGTCTTACTTGTATATATCGCATATTATAGAAAGCCAAAGAGCGCAAGGTCGCTCATACAAGGTATTTGGCCTCTTTGGATGGGCGGTACCTGCATGGTGAGCGCCTTCTGCGTCGTGAGTGTATGTCGCCAGAGCTCTCGGACGGTGAGGCATCAGGCGTGCTTCGCCTTTGCAAGCCGTCGTTTCGAAACAGCAAGGTACATAAGTCCTGCTTTCACATTTTACAGTCAATGTAATATAGATAAATATAGGTCGATGAGTTCTTTCGTGAGTTGGATGTCTTGATCGACAATGGAAAAAAAAAGAAAGTGGAGAAAAAGGAGAGACGCCCTGGCCCGGTCTTTGAAGCTGTGCTTGAAGAAAAGGTGTTGGATAATTTGCCCGCTTGGGCTAAATAAAAGTTTTGTTTTCTCCTTGACAACTACTGCTTTTATTTTATTTTGTGTTTTTACTTTCTACTACTCTTCTACGTGTTAAAGGAATCACAACGATTTTCGCGGACTTAGGATCTGTATGGTCACTATATCCAACGATTGACACCTGTGAGAATATTCGATGCACCGGCAAGATGGACTGATAATCATCCTGGCCAAAGGTGCTTTTCCATTCCTCGAGACCCTCGTTGGCGAATCGTTGCTCTGTTGTTTCTGTGCAGTACCAACAGACGTATGCGAAGTAGTGGATGGTAGGGACGCGGTCAATGACAAGTAAATGGCGGATGTAGTATTGGACTTGTCCTGTCTAGGCAACATCACGGGTACCTTGGATAAAAAGTACCTAGATGTGCGAACCACGGATCGACCTAGCTGTTGCTGATCGATATGTTGACCAACAATTCAATGGTACGTATTTTTTCTACCCTATTGTTGGCAAAGATGCGTCTTTGTTCGTGACTGGCACCATGACTAACTCCTTGTGCATAATGGTTGTTGTAGTGTTCTAACAAGAGCGTGTAATGCTCTTCCACCAGTCTTGTTGATTGACCGCCTTCCAGTGATCAGTATGTATCTCCTGGTAAAGGCTCACAACCGATGACGTTTTTACTCGTATCTGAGGACAGTTCGCGGAATGCAAGTGGATCGAACGAGGTAGTGCATGGTTGCTGGAAGGGTCTTTGGGATGTGTTGGCGGAGGGTATTACCAGCAATGCTGCCAATCAGTACTGAAACAAAGCTGATGAGGTGGACTGCTGCTCGTTCTGATATGTGGTGCAATTGAAACAAGATGAGAAATGCAAAAGCGAAGATCAGTGGATGGGGGATATGGTCCAATGGATCATTGACAGATATGTCGATTTCTTAATCTATCTATTATTTTTTCGTTATTATCTCTACCTGTATTGATAATAACCTTTTCTCCAAGCGCCAATAACAACGTTTTCTTGTACCTTCTAGATCGTCGATCTCGCCGTTGAACTCTATGTCGATTACTGGGTTGATGTCGTTCTCGCCTACAGACCCTGTTGCAAGTGGTTCCTCGGGCAGATCAAAATGCTGTATCTCTAGCTCTCCTTCCGGCAGTACCACGCTCTGCGGTTGCAGTGCCTCGGGATTCTGTGCATTGTTGTCCCCAATGTCGAAATCTCGTTCTCCTTCTCCATTGTTGGAATGGTCAACAGGGCTATCATCTTTTATTTACCAAAAGTTGTTTGTATATTAGCTGACCGCATGTCTAAACTGGCAACACATACTCATTCAGGTGTCAAATAATATTAACGTACCATCAGTAGCCATTGGAACTTGATCGTCAGTCTCGGTAGCACCGTCAGAAGGCTCACCCATTGCTGTATCACCATCTGGTCCGTGCATATCATGTTAGACCCGTGCAATTCCCCTTCCTTTGAGCATCACGTTAACACCAACACAATTACAGGCGTACCATTATTTACTCATAGACTAAGGGCAGCAGCAAGCGTAGCCTGCTGTAAAGCTGCATTCTGATGATCAGTATACTGCCGTGGAGTAAGAAGATCATATCGAAACTGTGGATATCGGCTATGGCACAGGTCGCAAAAACACATCATGCTGCGTTCAGGATTACCGGTGTTAGGATGGGGCATGGACATGTTGGATAAAAATTCAAAAACGGTAAGTGTGACAGAGGATGATAAGTTTAAATAATCGTACTTTTTTTCTTCTTCTATATCCTTCTTTTATACAGTATGTTTTTTTTTCTTTTCATCAATCAAAACAAATATTACACATGATGTATAGTGAGCGATGGATATAAATTGTTGGTTTCTTTATTGATACAGCTTAGCAATGTATTTTCGAGCTTCTTGGCAATGTGCTTTTCATCCAGCAAATATGTATAACTTCTTCAGCGTAAATGAGCTGCATTAAAAAACGTGTCAGATCAAATTTTATTTGAAACCTGTAATATGTTAGAAATAAATGTCGGCACCACCGTTTTGCTTAGTATTAGCTCTTATATTAAGGGGTTTATTATAGAGAATCATTCACATCATCACTCAACTCAAACTTTTGCAAACCACTGCTTTTCTCTCTTTTAGTAGCTTTTCTTTTTGCCACTGTTTTGTTATTAAATTCGCTGGCTCATGCTGCACGCTTTGGATGTGTTTTGTAGTATGCGCATAATATAATAACACCCCCAAACTGATTCTCCCCCCAACGAATGAAGATGCTATTGAACTGCTTTTTTTTGTCTCCACCCCCAAACTACCGTTATACCTGACTATTAACTATTGCTACACTCTTTAAAAGTTGGCTTATATTATACTCCTCATTCCACCATCGCTTGCCATTGAGAAAAAGAATGCCATTACAACCCTTAACTCTTTTTTTCTTCCCTCCGATGTCAGCGCCGGCATGTTTGAAATAAAGGGAAAGGATTTCTCTTCTTTATTTTTTAGAAACATATAGCAATACATATGCAGCAACGTGCATATACCTACTTTTTTTAACGTCGCGGGTCATTTTTGCATCCTTATCAGGCGGTGTTCCTCTCCTAAAATTAGTTCTTAAGAATCAGGTACTTTTTACTATCTGACTCTTCTGCAGTTTTGCGTAGTAGATATTCCACATCCCATTGTGTAATGGTAGCTACATGACGCTGACAGCAGCAAACGAAAAGAATAGGAAATGCACATGCACGAATAAGGCTTTGACCTAGTTGATATATATTACAGCAGGCAGCATCTGGATTTGGTAACTTTGTCTATGCATATTTTTTTCCCGCATAATGAGATATGTATACTTTTGCCTTCAATATGACGGATGATAAATGATGGGTAAAATAAGCGGACAGCATCTCGATTTGGTATTGTATCTTTGTATGTTTTATCGTTGTTCCTACACTAACATATCCTATCTTTCTTATGCATGACTTTGGCTTTAGTAATATATAGCGTACAGCGGGCAGCGTCTCTTTTTGGTATATAAACTGGTCCCTCCGCTTCGCTTCCGGACGATGTGAGCCCCTCCGCTTCGCTGCGTGTCAGCATCTGTCCTCCAGGGACCAGTTTACTGGGGCTCTGCCCCAGACCCCGGGTGGGGGCAATGCCCCCTACCACCCCCCTTTTACCTTCAAACAATGCTGAAAATTTGTTCTGCTTGACAGGAGTGAGAATGGTGTTTTTTATAATTTTGGTCTTGAAGTCATTGTCGTCACTGCACTAAAAATGCCTAAAGGCTCTTTCAGATTAAGATTATGTAGCTGATTACTGTGTCAGCTACTCGAGTTAATGCACTCCGAACTCTCAGACGATTTATGTCCAATACCCGGGCAATCCTCGCAACTGAACAGATCGTGTTCAGTTTCTTCGTAAAATTTACAGGTCAAAATCTTAGAGGTGGAATTCTCTTGCTCTTGAAACGGGTATTGGACAATTGTTGAGGTGGAAATTCTGGGACATCATGAAAGGTGTGATTGTTACACCCTAAAATAAGCACGCTTTGTTCGCTCTATCATACTTACTAAAAATGTGATTGTTACACCCTAAAATAAGCACGCTTTGTTCGCTCTACCTACTAAAGATGTGACCGTACACCCTAAACAAAGCTCGCTTTGCTCGCCCTACTTACTTACCAAAGCAAAGGCCCGAAATTCTATTATTTGTTACGATCTAGATGCTTTTGCTAATATGACATTGATAATTATATTTGCAGGACGTTCCCTCCCGCTGACCCTCCCGTTAGGGCGCTGCCCCGCTCTAAACCCGAAGCTGTAAAAGGTGGGGCAGTGACAGCAGGAGAAGTTGGTGGAGGCGAACTGTTGATGATAGGTGCAGGTGATGGTGGCGAGGTAGTAGCTATAGGAAGTGTAGGAGGAGGATTGTCAGTAATCTTCAGCGAAAATTGCATTATCACCAAAAAATTAGTAAGTACACAGTACCGCAGTTGATAGGGTTAAGTGGGCATTCTCTATGATTACGCCTACTGCCTACGATGGGTGCTCGAGCCACAAATACAAAACGTAGGCGCAAAAGTTTTTACAAAAACGAACTATCTGTAGCTTTGTAAGCAAACAGCTGCAGCAGTAATATTCAAATACACATGGTTAAAATATGCGTTGCCTATTCTACTGAAACACTGCGAGAATGCACTGGACATGGCTCATTGCGATCCGAGCCACAGTGACAGACATGATCGGTCGACTGCTTTGTCGAGAAATGTGCAGAAAAAAAATAGTTAGTAAATTTGTAGCTCATCTAGAGCAGTCTGTCAGAATCCCGGCTAACGGTGCAAAATGCTCAACGATTTTTACAGAAAGACATCAAATGTCGTTGATGGCAAATGAAATCAAGTAGCACACCTCTTCGGAGCTCATATTGAGAAATGCAATGTGGTAATAGTCTAGGAAGACGGCACAAAGTTGAAGTTTACCCAAGTCTCCCAGGAACGTGCAACGTTAAAAAAGCATGGCCGTTACAAAGTGAAATTTCCAAATCTGGATTTTACGCTGGGATTGAAATCGTAAGCACCCTTCCCTATTTAATAGAAGATATAATTTTCTCTCTTTCTTTCCAAGCATCCATGTATTCTGTCATGTACTACGCACTCATGGATGTTATACAACAAACATGCCCCGGACCTGACAATGCTGTCTCACTTACTCTCAGAGCAAAACTATATCTGCATCACTTAGCTAAGAAAGAGAAACAACAAATACTATCCGCGTGCGATTAGATGCATCCCTGTTTATAATATGTATCAACTTTTTCTGAGACTTGTTTACAGATTTTGCACATCACGCATATCATGCAAAAGTGTTCCAGATAGCCTGTACCGAATAGCTCATTCAGAGAACGGACATCTCAACTTATTTGGCCAAGACTTTTATCTAGTAGAGAGCTCGGTAACTTGGTATCTGAATCTTCCATTCCAATTAAAGTATAAATAGATGGGCCATTTTCTAGCATAGTAGCCATTATAGCATTACTATACCATCACTACTTCTTCTACTACCATGTTTCCAGCAGGTCAATTCCACCAACAAAGCTTTTCTCCAGTCAATAACAATGAAATCCAATCACTACGCCAGCAAGTACGACAGCTAGAACAGAAAGTTGCGGCATATGTTCAGAGCCACAATACAAGCAGTGCTAGAAGTGATACCAAGAACAATAGCAGTAGTAGTATGATGGTACAAATTTGTAGAAGCTTTACAAATCGACAGCTATTTCGTATGGGCTATTATAAACATTTCATCACTTATGATACACAGGGCCTTCTGTAAGAAGCCTATTCCTCTGTATCCAAGCACCAAGGTCTCGCCTAGGATTATAGCCTACGCATTAATGATGAGCCAAACTCTACAATCATGAGTCAAGTTCTTAGGACAGTGACGGAGAGTCGTGATTATCAGCTTTTTAACTGGAGCACCCAGGCTATGAAGAGGGCGCTCAGGGTTTCTTTTTACAACAAGAAAAATTGGGAAACACAGCTGGACCACATAAAAGAAGCTCGCCGACAAAAAAGCAAGAAACGAGCTGCGCGTGCAAGTGTAAGTTTATTTTCAGTTTCTTCTTACAGCGTGGATTCACAGTAACATATGATATGTATTCGGTTGACAGTTGGCGAACAAGCGTAAGAAAACGTACAGTGCAAACAAGACCCATCCGGTACTGTCCTTGTATCAAGATCCTGGAGACATCTTTGTTGCAGCATGCATGTCCGATATTGAGGATAGTGAAGTGATCTCTCGTCCAGCTTGGAGATCCGATAATGTAAGGACTAGCATGAGATCACTTGTACTCTATTCATCTTGATATACGCAGCATAGTCTAACATCAGCTTTATAGGCAACACGCTTTCTACATGAGATAGACAGAATCCGCGAACCCGGCCACACATCCTCCCGTGAACGACCTACAATAGAACTTAACGATCGAACATTAGATGAAAAGGTTCGTCATAGCCTTGCGCTCTGGACATATAAGAATTGAATAAAGCAGTTTCTTTTATATGAAAGATGTATTTCTTCGAAAGCTTCTTCTGTGTGTATCTTTTTTTTATGACTCTTCTGGGTGTATCTTCTTGCCCCTCTTTTAATTATTTAGTATTCCGCTCTGCTCAACTCAATTTCGTCACCTTTTTCTCTTCTACCCACTTTTTTTTACATTTGCTGTGCATCTCCAACTTATACTTTGAGCTTTTTACTTGAACGGCCTCATCAGATTGTCACATCTTCGTGCTGAATGTGTCTTCCTTGAAGTCCTTCATACTAACACCGTCGCCTGAGCACCGTCACTTGAGCAACTTCACTTTCTTTCACTTCTGCCAATGAGATTGAGTTCACTTCACCAGCTATTCCTTCAACCTCTTTCATGTTACTAACCAGCTCGCTATAACCTCATCTATCTCATCCTTCCTTAGGCTACAGTGGTCCATGAAAACGAAACAAGATGAGGTACTATAAGGTAAGTTTAAGGGTAGGGGTTATAACAGCGTGGAGTAATAGAGTATAGGACGTATTTTAATGGTTATACTTTTTCTCTTTTTTTTTATTAGGAAATCTCTATGTACATCGCTGTAACAAGAATCCCTTAGTACTGCTGCTTTTTGAATACTATCAGCATGTGTAGTTTATTGAATAGTTTCTATA